TAGTTGTTTCTGGGGCATTCTGGTTAGATATCTGAACCATTTGACTCTTTGTCGCTCTAATAGATTTACTACTGGTAAACGCATGGTCTCGTTCCTTATGCGGTCTCCTCTGCTGACGTAAGTGGTTTTACAGCGATACTTAATTTCGCGTGCATGAATTTTCCTTTATCATGCCATATTTAGAGACCATGTTTGGCACTGGTATGTTAATGTTGGTATGAAGATTCTATTGATGAGCTGGGATTTCACTTCAGTTGGGATGTTCTTGTGACTAAGAAGCTGTTAGGTCACTGCATTTGCCTCCATAGTTCTTGTTTATTTTTCTTTGTCCATACGCCCATCTAGTGTGATGATGCTTCCCAAATATTTAAATCCCTCTACATGTTGTTGTGTTCCGTCAATATCAATAATGATGTTGAGTTTCCCTGGGTTTTTTCTACCCTTCATAACTTCTGTTTTTGAAAAGGAGATTTTCCTATTTAGGTGTTTACATTCCTCATTAATTAATTTTGTGGTGTGTTTTTGTGATTCCTCTTCATCTGTATTTAATATACTCTGGTCATCAGCAAATATAAGCTCAGTTCATTGATGCTGTCACTTGCTGCTTTCGTGATCTTATCCATGCAAGTGATGAAGAAAAGCGGAGGGAGAACACACCTTTCTCTCACCCCCGACCTGATGGGGAAACAGTCCGATAGTCCTTCTGTTGATCTTCCGGCACATATGCTGTTTTTATAAAGTGCCATGATGTTCTCCAGCAATTGTCCTTTTACACCATATTCCTTTAAGATTACCCCCCGGGGCGGTGCCTTTTCTAAAGCCAAACTGGGAGGCATTGAGTTGAGTCTCTACAATACGTCTCATTCTCATTTCCAGTATCTTGGCAAACGTTGTATCCACACGGCTGAGAAGGGATATTCCTCTGTAGGCTCTCTGTTGTTTTTGTCGCCCAGGCCAGGTTAAATCCTCCATAACCAGAGTTCTCCGATTTGGCCGTATAGTTTGATCTCTTCTGCTGTGATGTTTTCGACGCCTGTCGCTTTGCTTGTGGGGCTTTTCTTTATAACATGTTTGGTTTCACTCAGCAGTAGTGATGGTTCAGGAGTGGTTTCTTTCTGAGAGAAACTGTTTGCTGTTGTTTCTGCTGTAGGATTCAGCAGCTCCTGGAAATAGTGTTACCATCTTTCCTTAATTTTTGGCTTTCTGAAAATAGGTTTTCCGTTCTCATCATTTACTATTTCAATTGGGTTGAATGGTTCTTCCCGCGTCCTTATGCTTTTTTAACTCTTTAGTAAAACTCTCAATGGTCTTCTTTACATTTTGTCACCAGCAGTTCTCTATATACTGTCCAGGGTCTGTTCTTAGTTTCTTTTACTACCCTTGATGTATAGAGGTGTTCCTTTCTGTATAAGATGTAATCTTTCTCTGTCTTTGATTTCTGCCACTTTTTGAATGCTCTTTTCTTCAGTTGGACGGCTTCTTCACTTGGTCATTCCACCATATAGTTGTTTTCTTTTTCTGCCCTCTTGTTTCCTGGTTCCGCACTCTTCTTTTAATGCTCTGTACACACATGCTTTGAAGTGGCTTCATTCCTCTTCAATGTCTCCCGGTTGTTTGGGCAATTTGTGAAATACATCTTTCAAACGTTCATGTATCTTATCTTTGGTATTGTCACTTATATTTCTGAGATGTACGACTTCTCGTCGTTTCTTTGCCTCTCGCCTTTTCTTGTTTGGTGTGTCAATGGTCATGATAACTGGTCTGTGGTCAGTGTCTGTGATGTAGTTGGGAACCACTCTTGAGTCTCTGATTTTTCTCAGTTTCGACCTTTTGGCCAGGATAACATCAATTTGTGATGCTATCTTTAGGTCATTCCATTTGTATCAAGTTTTAACCTGACTCCTTTTGTGTTGGAAGAAGGTATTTGATACGATGAGGTCATAGCATTTCTCCATTGCTGTTTTGATTTGTTTCTCTGTCACTGTGTGGCCTCTTGTATCTCTCCCATGTCGTCTTCCTTGTTTCCACTCTGCCTTCAAAGTCCCCCGTGATTGTCCCATTTTTTTGGTCATCCATGGTGTTTAAAAGGTCACTCACTTGATAATAGAACTGATGTCGCTGTTCTTCGTTGTATGAGTCATTGGATGGAACATTTATCTGTATTTGATGACCCTGAGTAATGATCATATTCTATGGTGATTTCCCGCTTATACCATATTCGTTGAATTTTTAAAAATATTTTTCTAGTCTGTGTTGTGCTTTTTAGTTTAGTTTTAGCATGGGTTTAACGGCACTTGCAACACAAATATGTCATATAAGCCCCGAAGATTAGAGGTGTTACGAGAGAGTAACATACACAGAAAAGATGGAGGACAGATAAGGACGGTTGATTGTTAATCTGGAAAAAAGGAACAAACCACACCCCAGAGCACCACCAACCTCTAGCTTGAGTTAAACATGTAAGATTGAAACTGCTTTCAATTTTAACCATTTTCCCCAGTAGCAAGTTAAAGAACTCTTTAAAACAAAATGAGTGTTGTTTTTCTTTTGAAAATCGGACCATTATTATGGAAAGTGTGCCCGTTTCTTTTTGGGGATAATAGGCATCGGACTCCCGACGTCACGCTTATGACGTAATTAAACGGTAAATAGAATTTAACTCTTAATGTACTTGACTTTTATTTTTATATATTGTTTCTACATAAAGCAACAAACAAAATGATACCTCAATGGTTACGATACAACTATTATTAAGGATTTTATGACGTTCTGAAGCAAAATTTCGAGTTTTGGTGGCACAAAATGCAGTGCAAAAATTTGGCTAAATCAGGGGGAAAATTGATTCACAAAAAAGTGCCTAAGAACATTACAACTCGTACACTCTATAGAGCAACGTAAAAATCAAAGGGCTGAGATGGAAGCGAGCCTAATCGATCACGGTTTATTCGAAAGATTGAGATCTCGGTGTGATAACAGCGTCGACTGTTCTCTAGAGATCAGTGAGCCCTCTGGTGATTCCTGAAATATTCTTTGAGTATTCGATCCGCGGCCAACATGACGGAATGTGAGCTGCGATGCCAGAGGGGGAAAATATGGAGTATTGTAGGAAGATTTGTTGTGAGCGATTTGGATTCTTGTCGTCGGCTTGTTCTGGACAAGTGTTTTGTATTTGTGCGTGAGGTAAGTTAGGTTTGTGTGTGTGTGTGTGTGTGTGTGTG